CTTCAATCTCCTCCGCACTGGTTCTACTTGTAAAAAACAATTTCATGGATTTTACAAGGGTGCCAACTAAGTACTTAGCCGTAAGGAATGCAGAATCTCTTGATTCTTAAAGTAATACTTACGCCTTCTTTCTTACTGATATGGCGACAATGTTGATGCGGCTGCCGGATTCGTCAAGTAGCTCATCTGCTTCATCCTAGGATAACGTTATCCATAAAATCTGTTAGCCAGCGGAGAAGAGATTAGCTTCATATGGAGAAAATGAACGGCTCGCATAAGACTGTGCACTAATGGATGACCGACATCTCTGGTCAAGGATCAGAGCGTAAAGACAGTTACCCAGAAATCTCAAAGAACATCATGGTAGAAACAAGAAAACTCACAACGCCATCACTCTCCTCGTCGATTTTCGCCTCGTTTACGCTGACAGGCTGAACACCGTCCTCCGCCAGCTCTTTTTCAATCTACAAATCAATCACATAAGCAAAACAAAAAGAAAACTATCTTAGACTCTGTACAAGAAATGATTTACAAAATCGCTTTTTCCATTGAAAATATTTTCCTAGAAACATGTACGTCTTTGAAAGCTCACCTCCTCATTTACGGCAGTCTCCTTATTTCTGAGAAATTCACCACCAGAAATTGGAGCGAAATCGCGTTTCTAAACATTGGAAAACAATACAGATCTCGATAATTAATCACTTCAACAATACATCGCTGGTTCACTGGTAGAGTGCTCGACTGCTACGCGGGCGGCCCGGGCTCGATTACCGGTTGATGCACCATAAATCTGTTTCCTCTACAACAGTCGGCACCAGATTTATCAAAACAGGGGATAACCAGATACGGTAAAGAATCTCACAACAGCTCTTTTCATACAAAACAAGTTCACATTTGCTTAGAAATATGAGAGCGCGTCATAATTGATGAATGAGAGTGAAGCATTCCCCTGGCTCCAAGGTACGGACTCGCGGATCACTGCGATAGGAATGCTCTGGTGGTGGAGACACTCAAAATTTTGATTTTATTGCGGAGACAGCAATAGGTGATTTTTGAAACAGACGAATTTTGGGTAGTTATAATCTCTTTTGGCTAGTTAATAGGTGACATAGTCTTCTGTTGCTTAGAACTTGTCTTAGTTCTCAAAGTGAAGCAGGCAATCGCTTTTCGCTTTATAAGCTCATAGGTATTTCAATGGCTCTAAGGAACAGCAGCAGTGGTCACTGAGGAAGAGGGACGAGGAGAAATTGTCGAACCTTAGCCAAGAAGGGACCTGCACAGCAATAATTAAAACAATTTACTAAATTGATTTTTGTATCTAAATAATCAAAAATGAATATTTAGACAAGAAGTGTCCAACCGCGCGAAAATAATTCTGGTGTAACCCCATCATCTCTCCGAAGAAAAAACGAGACATTTCATGACTCCCTATCATCTCCTCCTCTCAGATATCCAGAAATACGGATATATGTATTATACCTTCGGCTTCTCCTCTTCGGCATCGTACGCGTCATCGAAGAGCTTCAACCGCTGCACTTGATATCTGTCTAGGATTTCCTTAACAGAAACAATGTGTTGTTTAGAAATTTAATAAGAAGGAAAGCAGGAAAAGATGACTATTATGTCACACAATGACAACTTCTCCGTGATGAATAAAAGCTGGGTTTAGATACCGTAGAAATTTTCAAACAATCAAATGTCTGTAGTAGTACTTCCTCCGGTAAATAAAGAGGGGAGAGTTAAGAAAAGAGTTACTGACCGTCAGGAGAATGGCAAACAAAGCAGGGTAAGGGAATTCCTGAGTGATAGTGGTAGAGAAATAGAATGAATCTTGTATTCTCCTGGGAATATATTAAAGATAAAAATGGACATAGCACATACATATAAACTTGGAAATGATTGTCTCATCAAAAATCATCAAACTAAAATATTAAACACTCAAACTTCACAATAAAAGACTGTATTCTCAAACTAACTGATGGAAGGATCGCAGCAGAAAGAGATCTCGATCATGTGGTTAAGAAGCGAGAGATGCAGAGATTAAAAGATTTGGAAGAAGCGTAGCTGCTATTCGGAAGTACCGCAGCAGACAACCGAAAGAACCGGACCAAGTCACCTTTTGCTTCTTCCCGTTTTCTGCTGTGGCCCTTCCGAAAATACGTTTGAGTAGGAAGTCGAACATGTCAGGTTCATTTCAAGATTCCAACAATTTTCTTAGGGATCCAAAGCTATCATTACATTGCTTTTAGCCAGATTTATTTGTGTCGTCTACATCTGGATTAGCTAATTAGACAGCGGTTTTGTAGCTCCCTTCCATTTTGTAGAACCTCAAAAAATAGAACAAACCGAATCAACGGTAAAGTGCCGAGATGGCGTGGATTAGAGGAAAATGAAGGAGAAAAAAGAAAGTGTGCAACGATTTCAAAATCTAGTCGTTGGAAGACATAACAGAAGAGGGTTTTCTCATAAGCAGATGACAGTTAGATTCAGCTGTGAGGAAGAAGTAGAGCAGGGACTTGAAAACGATTACTGGGAAACATCCACCTACAAAAAGGAATTATGAAAAGAACGATAAAAAAAGGAGAAAAAGAGGTTGAAGTCCAAGGGGACTTGAGTGTCATGTTGTTCAGGGTTTCCGTACTAACAGATGTTATCATCTATCGATATTACATTTTTAGAGTAACCTAGAAAAAGCAGTTCTTAGGACAAGAGACCCGCATGGCGACTTACCGTAGTTTAGGCGTGGAATAAAACGCGTTCAGCAATTGCACCATGAGCGCCTGACTTGACTGAAAGTGCCCAGAGGTTCGCCTTTGCCCTATCTTGCGTATTAAACTCAATTAGAAACTGTCAACTACGAACTTATGCTAGTCAAAACATG